GCTGTGTCACCATAAAATGTCTCCATGTGCCTCATCAAATAAACTCCCTCATTGGTTTTGTTTTTCTTGTTTCTCCAATGCATTTTAACCACTTCCTCCTTCAGCTTCACAACCTTATCTGCCTTTGGGTGTTTTTGATCTCGAAGAAATTTCACAAATCCACTTCTCTGTAGTTAAAAATTCCAAAAACAGAATTATACATATTCTTATGTTCATAAACATATTTTCTATGTAGTTGCTCAATTATCAAGTGCACATTACTCATATAAAACATTTACCAGGTATGACATTTGAAACAAGTACTTGAGTGCAGGAGCTATATCTCCGTCGCTACTATCAATGATGTAGAACTTCATGCTCTTCAAGTCAAAGCACATCATATAGTAGCACCCATTGTATTCATCTGGGAATATGAATAGGTCTGTTGACCTCAACTTATTTCCATCTGCACAGGGAAATTCCTTGCCAATTTCTGCCGCAAACCTTTTGTTTCTTGTTTGTGGAGCGGTGAGATGATTTTGATCTAGCACATGCTGTCATTAAATATTATAATATATTAGTTTCATTTTAGTAATACTAAGTAAATGAATATGAACTTCTTACACATGGTCTTGTTGAGAAAATCATTCTGCTTTTAGCTTCAGGGCTTTTGAACTTTTCATTATGATTAAGCAACATTGCCCATATATCTATAATTCCAGCATCAACTTTTGTGTTGCTCTTCATTGTTTCCATCTGAGCTTTTGAAAGAGTGAAGTTGTAATGCTTGAACACAACAACACTGTTTGAAAAGAATTATTATATCAGAATGAGTAACCTTCAAATATTAAATGTGCATTATATTAAACGAAATGATTAAATAAAACTTAGCGACTTACTTCTTGTCACAATGATCATTGAACACAAAACCTGCAAGTAGTCTTTCCTCACTGCCAAGTGTTGTCCTTGCATCTATACTTCTGTTCATGAATGGGGACTTCACAGCAGCTGCTGGGGCTGTTTCTCTTTTTTCTCTTTCCACTTTGTTCTCTTTTGGTTCAATGTGATATTGTTCAACTTGCTTACCCTTTCTAAACCTTATGTCTCTTTCTTCTTCACATTCTTCCTTTTCAGATTCCTCTTCATCCTCATTAACATCCTCAGCATTGTCATTATCCTTATTCATTTGCTCACTTGGACCATCCTCTGCATGCTCAACTTCATTCCCATGTTGCTCAATAATGTCATGATGATGCTCATCATCATCCCCATATGTATTCGCCCCATCATTTGACTCCTGTGAAAGCAACTTGAAGCTTGGCTTTTCATACTGAGTAAAAGTTGGCCTCTCAACTCTTTTCTTCTGAGCCATTTCAATAGCTTCAACTGCTTTGAGCACTTCTTCAGTCCAGAATCCATCATCTGGAGTCAGTGACACTTCGGTTTCATTTTCTTTTTCTTTCTCCTTTTCTGATGAATATGTGTTGAAAAGTCCATGGACTTTTCCCATTAAAATCTTCATTGTGTCATCATCAGGTAACACCTTTGCAGCCTGTTGAAATTTTTCATCAAAATCGGCCATGCTTTCTGCCAAATTCTTCGCTGCTGCAGCAAACTCCTTCATAATATCCTGCAGTTATTTAATGATTAATTTAGAACAGTAATTGAGCATTCTTTATGTTATGATTGAGTTTATACTAAAATAATAGAATGAAGCATATACGTTTATTAGTTTAATTTATTCAGTCTTTAGAATTTTTCCCATATTTTTAACACATTTATTATCTTTGTTTTTATTTAACTTCTTAAATGCACTCATTACTTTGTACTAAATACTCATATCTAGATATCATACTTATCATTTATATATTTACCCAATTGTTTCTGTTAAAATTACATAATACTGTCCTTACCTTCTTTGGCTCCTGATTACTGTTTCCCTCAATCTGGATTTCAGCTTCTTCTTCATTTGTGATCAGTTTTGGAACTATCAATTCCCCTTTGTTAGGTTCATCTATATATCCGTATCCAAAACCTCCAGTTTCAATTTCTTCCTTCTGTCGTTTGTTCAGCTTTTGTGTTGTCCAACCAATAATAGATGGCAATGCTCTGTCCACTTTTCTGCCTTTGAATACAATGTTGTCTACATAGAACACCTACATATTTTATTAGATTTTAGAATTGTGTAGTGTATATGAGGATATGAGTAATAGTGTGGTAAAAATGAGCAATAGCATTAAGAATTTGAAACTTACAATCAGAAATAATAAAGGCCCTGGGAACTGTCTTTCTCTATTTTTGCTCCAATAGTCCTTGGCTTCAATTAATGTTTCCAAAGTGTATCCACACCAATTCAGATCCTTGATTTTTGAATCATCCTGCAATGCCTTCAGAATGCTTTGATTGGCAAAGCAATTTTGCTTCCCTTCAATCAAACACGTTACCAGGAGAACCAAAAAGTTCTTTTTAAACCATCCTCCGCCTGCTTTGTTTTCTTCTATAAACTTCTTCACTTGAGCAGTCTTCACAACTCCATTTTCAGTCTGAAATTGTGATCTCCAATTAGCCACCATGTGTGATGTATTCTCAGATTCAGTGTCAATCAAATTCTTCACATTAATCTTTCCTTTTGGAAACCCCAATGTCATGTGCACTCCATCTTCATTAATCCTCAACCTTTCATTGTTTGGCAGAAGAAGAGACACACTTCTGCTGTCAAAATTGTCCAGCAACCAATGTGCCAACTGCATTGGCAATTGCTTCACTTCAAGGTTCAGTAAGGGGCCAAATCCCATCTCAACCACCTCTTTCTTCTGTTCTGCACTTAGCTTTTTCATTATTTCTGTTATACTACTCGGAGACATTCTTGTCCACAGCTTTGGGTATTTTGCATTCTCTTCCTTCTCTATCTCCTCTTCGTCCTCCTCAAATTCTTCCTCTTCTTCTGCTTTCTTCTTCTTTATCTTGATATCTTCTGCTTCTTCTCTTTTATTGACTCTGCTTCCCTTATTATTTTCTTCTTTGCATGAACTTCTTTCTTCTTTTTCTGAACTTCATCATTTTTCTTTTCAGTTGCTTCTGAAGTTGTTGATCTTGTAATTCTTCTTTTTGGACTAACCTCCTCGCTCTCTTTCTCTTTGTTTGAATTTCCCTGTTCTGTACTTTTCTTAATTGAGCCTGCATTATTTCTCTTTCTTTTCTTCTCATTATTTCTCTGTGCAGCTCCTTGTTGTGCTTCTATAACAATCTGATTTTGTTCAATTTCCCTACCTTGTTGCTCATTTTCCCTTCCCTGTTGCTCAGATTCTTCTCCAACCTCCTCAATTGTCTTACTGCTAGTATTCCTTGTTTCTTCAACATTATCATGTTGCTCAGTTTCAATACCTTGCTGCTCAGTTTCACTCCCTCGGTGCTCAGATTCTTCTACAACATTCTCAGTCATCTTACTGCCACCTTTGCTTGTTTCTTCAACATTCTGATGCTCCTCAGTTTCCCTCTCTTGGTGCTCAGTTTCTTTCCCTTGGTGCTCAGTATCCCTCCCTTGTTTCTCAGATTGTTCTCCAACATGCTCAGTCTTCTTAGTGCTATCCTTCCTTACTTCTGCAACCCTTGTTTCTTCATCACTCATCTTTATCCCAGCTTCAATTTGTTTTATTAAGTCCATATTAGCCTTTTCCTTTTTTGGAATTGCTTTTGTTTTCATCTTCTTCTGCTTCTGTGGAACCTTGGAAGTCTTTTTTACTCTCTTTTTTGGATTTGAGCGCAGCACTGGGATCTCACTTATAGGTCGTGGATCTAAAATCCTGTATTATTAATTAAAATGAGTAATATATATCAAATCATGAGCACACAAAATATTATTTTGTAACTCTATTCAATCACAGTCATATTCTATACAAACTATATTTATATGTAAATGTAGTTTATGACAAGCATATTCTAAGACAAATTTTTCATAGCTTTATAAGAAAACATAACACCATATGGTTATTTGAAAGTACTGATCAACTTATGAGTATCAGTTCACTTTTAAATTAACATTATGAATAACTAACATATTATCACCAGTTTTCAGTACTATAAAATTGTGACACAGTGTTTTACAATTTGAGCATCTTACACTCACATTATGAGCACACACACAATGTCCATGCAAACGAATCTACTGCACTTCATGACACATTGTTCATGAAACAATGTCTATTTGTTCATTTGATACAGTGTTCAAATAATGAGTATGACTTCAATTTTAATGTCACATTATGATTAATTAGCATAAACACATATGAATCATAAGGATATTATTCAATAAGTACAGAAAATTTAAAGCACATACCACTCCATTCATAGATGAGTACTGTATACCACAGATTGAGTATTTTATCATCTTAGAAGTAACCTAATTACAGTATCACCATGTTCTAACAACTAGTTAGTAATGCATATGACCTAAAGTAGAGTAAAATGAGCAATAACCTTCGTATTTTGAACAAAACCTCAAATGATATACTTAATAAACACATATCATGCATCAAATTCATAATCTGCTTCAGATTTGTCAAAATCATTTCATTTTTTCTATAATTTTCGAAACATGCAAGTATATTGATGAATCATTACTTGAATACAAATTTCAACACTATAATATTACATACCTCTCTGATCCTTCTGCAGTTTCATGCTTATCTGCGTTCTTCATCATCTCATACTCGGATATTAGGTCCATCACTCGCTTCAATGCTCAAACAGAAACAACTTGCTGCTCAAACTCTTCCTCTATTCTTCACTTGTCGTTGCTCTGCAACTCTACGAACAACTCCACGAAGTTGACAAACGTCTGGAGGCTGTCATCGTTTTTCGAGCTTTAATACGGCGTGTATGAATGCTTGCGTCGTTTTCGAAGAAATTTCAGAAGGTAGTTCGAGAGAAGTTACTTTTCCGTTTTTTGATATGTTTAAATCGCAGGCTCTGTTTTTCGGTTATAGATATTACCCGGTAAAAATTGGGGCCAGGTGTGTTATGGGCTAGATCTGTTAATGGGCTTTTATGTTAATTGGAGCACGGATGTACATACAACCGGGTGTAGCAGGGTCTCACACTCAAGACGCCACGGAAAAACTTCTTCTCCGATCAGAAAACCAATGCAGCGTCATTCTCAACCTGCAAAGAAGGTGCTAAGCTAAACATCACCCATACTCACAATCCCACTCATGGAATATCTCAATCTCTATTGTTTTACAATTCCAGTTTTCTTGGGATTGTTCATTTAATTTTCAAAACTTCATCTCTTTTAAAACTGCAGTCGAAAGAGTGGTTAGGAGTAAGTTTCAAGCCAGCGAACTTTATACCTGGGGTGGTAATCGGTTTCATTCTCGGACTATTGTTGGATTTGTCGAAGCCCTCTGGACCTAGCGGCAATAACAATCGAAGCAATAATTCCCTTACCAGGAGGAGTCGATTGTTGTCCAGAAATCAAAAGGAGAAGACAGTAACTCAAGGATCAGCTAACTCTGATAATGAATTCAAACTGGTAACTCTTGTTGGTTTTATGTTCTCTTAAACAATTTCCTATGTGTTTTGTTGCACATGTTTTTTCACACTCAAGATTTTCGTTATAAAGTTGCAAGAAGATTATATTCTTCAACTGTGGAAATTAGGTTAACTCAGTATTTTTCGAAGTATATGAGAACTTAAATTCATTTCCAAAAGCAAAATATTGTTAAATTAACTCTTCAATTTTAGATTAAGGTAATTTTGAAAAAATCTTTTTATGTGGAAGCTTTGGAGGGATGAATCAAATCTCATGTAAGAACTTTCTAGAGTTTCATTCAGACTCAGTATGGGTGCTTGCACGGATCACGACCACTTTACTAGGAAATATTTATTTCTTTAATGGGATCCTTAGAGAGTTAGAAGGTGTTCGCTGGCTCTTGCAGATAACAACTAGTTCAGAATCATTAGAATTAAGGATGTTTTCTTTTGGACTGTTTTCAGTCCTAGACCAGACCAAACTTCCGTAGTTATACAATACACAGAGAACAAACATTTGACAGACTAGACCAAACCAACAAATTTCTGTCCAAAAGAAAACATCCTAAATACAAAATTCAACTCCCAGTAATTTCCACCCACATACCAAACTATGGGTTTGTGAAATCGTATGTAAGTGATTGATGTTTCAGATTCTTAAGGTATTCAACATATCTGTCTCTTACTTTGAGAAGTTCTTTAACAGGTCTTGGTGGTAAGGCGAGACTTGAAGATGGGACAAGGCAAAATTGCATCCCAATGTGCACGTAAAACATTCATTGGCGTTTATGATTTTAGATCACAACTTTCATACATCATCTCAATGATCTTCTCTATTTGAATGCTTCCTTAGTTCCTTTAACAAAAATGCAGATGCTGCAACTGGCATGTACTCAGAGCTAATGTCCAGGTATTTATTGTTCCTTTTTTCTATTCCATTCTGTTTAGGGATTGTGAACAAGAACTAGATTGGGACTGAAAGTCTTATCTCTTATAAAGAAAGGAAGGATACAACAGTATATATAGAAGACATAAACCCTATGAGAGAAACCCTAAAGGCCCATGAGCTTATTGGGCCTAAGCTAATAAATACAAATATACAATACACTATTTACATGCTAACACTCCCCCTCAAGCTGGAGCATAGATGTTAATCATGCCTAGCTTGTTACAAATAAAAGAGATCCGTGAACTAGGTAAAACTTTGGTAAAGACGTCAGCTAATTGATTTCCTGATCGAACAAAGGGAGTCGAGATGGTTCCATCTTCCAACTTTTCACGAGTGAAATGGCAGTCTACCTCGATGTGTTTCGTTCTTTCATGAAACACGGGATTGTTTGCAATGTGGATAGCCGCCTTATTATCACAATACAGTTTCATTGGTTTTGATTGAACAAACCCGATTTCACCTAGCAGATTACGTAACCATACCAGCTCACAAGTGGCCTGAGCCATGGCCCTATATTCAGATTCAGCGCTTGAACGGGAAACGACATTTTGTTTCTTGCTTTTCCATGAAACCAGATTTCCTCCAACAAACACACAATAGCCAGTAGTAGACCGCCTAGTTGTAGGGTCCCCATTGTAGTGAACCCTTCTATGATGTGATGGCCGTGGTTTCTGTATAAGATGCCATGACCGGGAGCACCCTTTAAGTACTTTAATATATGACTAGCAGCCTCCCAGTGTGATGTTCTTGGAGATGATAAAAACTGACTTACAACACTTACTGGAAAAGCAATATCAGGATGCGTAATTGTCAAGTAGTTTAGCGTTCCCACTATTCTTCAATTTGTTTCTGGATTCTTAAGTAGATCTCCATCATCGGCTCTCAATTTCATATTTGGAGTCATTGAGGCCTCACAAGGCTTTGCTTCAATCATCCCAGAGTCATTCAAGATATCCAAACAGTATTTCCTTTAAGACAGATAGACCCCTTTCTCAGTACGAAATACCTCAATTCCTAAGAAGTATTTTAAAAGACCTAGGTCCTTTGTTTGAAACCAAGATGCAAGGAAATCTTTAAGCTTTTCGATCCCAGTTACATCATTTCCAATAATCACAATATCATCAACGTATACCACTAATAGAATACATCCAGTAGATGATGAAGTAAAAAGCACAGAATGATCGTGAGAGCTCCTCTGTAAGCCAAACTCGGTCACTACGGCGTTAAACCGTCCAAACCAAGCATGAGGGGACTGCTTTAAACCATACAATGATTTACACAATTTACATACTCTACCAGACCCCCCGAGCAACAAACCCAGGTGGTTGCTCCATATAAACCTCCTCGTGTAAATCACCATGCAAGAAAGCATTTTTCACATCCAACTGGTGTAGTGGCCAGTTGTAAGTAGTGGCTAATGAAATAAACAGGCGGATGGAAGAGACTTTAGCCACAAGAGAAAATGTCTCACAGTAATCAACCCCGTAAGTCTGAGCATACCCTTTGACGAGCCACAGAGCCACCTGGGTTAACCTTAACCTTCACTGTGAACACCCATTTGCAACCAATTGCCTTTTTACCTGCACGTAACTCTACTAAATCCCATGTACTATTATGATCAAGAGCATTAATCTCGTCAATCATAGCATCCCTCCATCCAGAATGGGCCAAAGCTTCACCAACCGTTTTAGGGACAGATAATGAGTCAAGTGTAGACAGCAAAGAACGAGAACATGAAGACAGTTTATCATAGGAAACAAAAGAAGCAATAGGGTAAGTACATGAACGCTTACATTAAGGTCAGGATGTTGTGTATCAAAAGGTGGTGATTCACTCAAAGTAAAAGGATCATCATTGGGCTGATCTGTAGAAGAAGACAAAGATGGTAGCGGGTCGGGATCTGATGTAGGGCGCTGTCGTCTCGTATATACATGAACAATCAGTGGCTTAGTAGGCTCTTGATACTGTGGTGTGGGAGACTCAGGAACGGGTATGGCATAAACCAACAGATCATCACTATCTCATGGAATGTAACGTCTCGAGATACAATATATCGATTAAGTGTGGGTGAAAAACACTTATACCCTTTTTGAAGACGTGAGTAACCAAGAAAGATACATTTCAAAGACTTTAGATCCAGCTTAGTTATGTGTGGCCGAGTATCACAGACAAAACAGGTACTGCCAAAAATTTTGGGGTTGACAGGGAACAATGATTTTGTAGGAAATATTACAGAGAAAGGGCTTTTACCATTTAAAACAACAGAGGGCATTCGGTTGATAAGAAAACAAGCAGTAGCAAGTGCATCGGCCCAAAAAAGCTTAGGAACATTCATGTGAAATAAAAGGGCCCGACCCACTTCCAAAAGATGGCGATTCTTCCGTTCTGCAATCCCATTTTGGGCCGGTGTATCGACACATGAAGACTCATGAAGAATACCATTTTGAAACATATATGACTGAAATGTTTGAGACAAATATTCTTTTGCATTATCACTACGAAGCGTTTGGATGGAGACATTAAACTGTGTTTTAATTTCAGCATATAAGGAACAAAAATGCGTAAATACCTCCGATCGATTTTTCATAAAGTAAAGCCATGTGGCGCGAGAATAATCATCAACGAAAGTAACGAAATATTTAAACCCAAGTTTTGAAGTCATAGGACATGGTCCCCAAACATCTGAATGGACTAACTCAAAGGCGGATGATGCCCGATTGCCCGCTTATTACAGACTCTCGGACTTAAATGAACACGTTGGTGTTTAGCAAACTGACACGAGTCACACTGTAAAAAAGGTAAATAAGAAAACTCAGGACACAACTTTTTCAAATTCTGTAAGGACGGATGACCTAATCGACAATGAACTTCAAATGGAGACGCTGAACTGGAGCAAGTCAAGGAGTAAGGTGTTTGAGGTTCAAATATGTATAGGCCATCAGATTCCCGCTCTCTACCAATAATCTTCTTTGTCGACACAGTAATTTGGAAAGAATGAGACACAACAATTTAAGGCACGAGTAATTTTGCTGACAGATAACAAGTTGAACAAGAAATTAGGTGGGCTCAATACAGAAGACAATGAAACAGCTGGGGTAAGATCAATGGTGCCAGAACCAAGGACAAGTGGGGTGGACCCATGAGCAATAGTGACATGAGATGAAGGTGTATGCCTATTGAAATTTGAAAAGAGGGTAGGGTTACCTGTCATGTGATCCGAAGCGCCTGAATCAATGACCCATTTGGTGGCAGTAGATATGAGGCATTTACTAGAGTTACCTGTTTCAGCAAATGCAGCAGTCGGAACAGTAGAACTTTCAATCCTTAAAAATTGAGCATATTCTTCTGTAGGAATAGTAACCATGTTGTCTGAGGCAGAAGCAAAGTGGGCAAATGAGCTTTTCTTTTCTGATTCTTAGCCAAAAGCTGCTTACACGTGCGTTTGGTATAACTGAACTCATGGCAGTAGTAACACTCCATCTCACCAGAATCTGGAACTGCGGCTCGTGATTAGAGGTTGTGTCTCTGTGACCACCTCTAAAGCCCCCTCTATGACCCCTGTGCCCCCCCCCCACGAAAGCTACCATGGTATCCTCTACTGACCAGAGCACTGTTGTGATCAAAAGTTTGGGAGGGTTGAATATTTTCATTCCGAAGGACACGAGCAAATGTATCCTGAAGGGAAGGAATGGTAGATTCATTCAAGAATGGGGATATGATGGAGTCAAATTCTTGTCGCAAACCAGTCAAGAAACTGATAACAACCACTTGTTCCCTTTGAGCCTGCATAGCTTTTACATCGGCACTTATTGGAAGCAGAGAGTTAAGCTCCTCATATATTTTCTTGAACTCCATGACATAAGTAAGGAGTGACCGATCTTGCTGTTCCCCGCGATGAAAGGACTTACAAACACTATAGATTCGAGAGATGTTACTTTGCCCAGAATACATGAAATCAAGATAGACCATGAGTTCCTTCACATACTCACAGTGACTAACGAGAGAGGAGACAGAAGGTTCTATGGTATTAATAATTTGCAAATACAAACGAGCATCACTTTGTAACCATGAATCAGATTCATCAGCTGTAGGCAATGTTCTAAAAGGCGTAAGGCGTGCCGAAGCGGCACGACCGAGCCTTAAGCCTTTGGAGCCTAGGCGGGTTTAGGCAGGGTTTAGGCGTGAAAAGGCGTTTTGATTTTTTATCATTTATTTTAGATTTCCTAGAGCTATTTTAAACATTTATATAATTTTTTTAAAAAACATCATAGTTTTATCATTTTCAACAAAAAAAATACATAAAAATGTAAATAAGTACATTACATAAAAAGTAATACCTAATATATAATTAAGATAAGGACATTACATAAAAATGTGACTTGAGACCAACAATTTTAAGTATGTCAATTTAATATTAAATAATACGTAGTACCCAGTAGTATCATATAAGATAAACAATTTTTCTGAACTCCCCCAAAAAATAGTTTTGTACTCCACAAAATATAAATTTACCTATCACTCAATATGAAACTAGAATTGGAAAGAGTAGTTGAATGGTAGTATAATAGTTATAATAATAATTATAACAATAACAAAAATAATGATAGTTATAATAATAGTAATGACACTTAGGATGTTTTTACTTGGACTGTTTTCAGTTCCATATTAGTCCGGACTAGAACAAATCTAAATAGATCAAACCAGACCAAACTTAACTTACGTAGTTATAAAATACACATAGATCAGACGTTTACCAGACCAGATCAGACCATACTAGCAAGTCACAGTCTAAATAAAAACATCCTTATACAAACAGTGATATTAACAATAATGATATTCTAATTAGCAGTAACACTAATAGTAACATTAATTCTAATAATAACAATATTATTAGGCTCACCATATAATTATTATTAGAGTTTTTAACTTTTACAAAAATTATTGAAGTACATCCTTAATTATAAAAAAACTGGATTTAGAAAAAAGTCTGATAATAAAACTTGTAATAATACCAATACAATACGTAGTAAAATAATACAAAGTTGGAATAATAATAATAATTACTATAATAATAGGTACAACAATTTTTGTGCAAAGTATAAATTTTAGCTTGAAAACTTACTCCGTATCTTGTAACTTGTAAGGCCAAGGCTTCTTTTCCTTTTGTTCACATTTCCCACACCGGAACAATTGATGGATTCATCCATGCACTTCGGTTATATAATGCTCCACATGATAGCCTTCAATAGTAGGGGCTAATTGAATGGGCTTTCAACTTTCCTGCAGGCCAAATATTAGCTCCATAGTCGAATTTTAATTTTTTTTGTTTGGGCCGCCTTTTGGCACGCATAGTAGGTATGCGAGGCATTTTTAATACGCCTTGCGCCTATTCTCGCCTATGCGCTGCCTTTTGGAGTGTTTTAGAACACTGCCTGTAGGGGGTCAGATGTGAGGTGAGAGCCCATTCCCATGCTCCGAAGATAGATACGGATGGTTTTGCTCCACTCAAAGAAGTTAGAGCCATTCAGCTTGTTATCAGTGAGTTTAACAATTACTGGAAGCATCTCTGTTACACGTGGATCACTGTTGTTGGCAGATGCTTTATCAGATGCCTTTTGTTCTCCAGCCATCTTAAAAGATCACAAACTAAGAAGAGATATAGGGAAGCAGAAAGAAAGCAGCACTCACAGGGTGCTCTGCTAACTAAGAAGAAAGATAGGGAACCAGAAAGAAAGCAGCACTCACAGGGTGCTCTGATCGATGAACAGTGTCAGGATTTTTTTCTCTCTCTACAGAAGTTCTCAAAACCCTAAGCCTTGCTCTGATACCATGTGAACAAGAACTAGGTTGGGACTGAAAGTCTTATCTCTTAGGGAAAAGTACAGAAAAGGTACATGTGGTTTGAACCATTTTTAGATAGGGGCACGCATTTTATTTTTTAACAAAGTGGGACATGTGGTTCAATTTTGGTATCATAGCTGGGGCATGGAGTCTAATGCCGTCAGAAAAATTAACTCCGGTTTTCAAAAGTCTCCGAAAAATTAAAAGAAAAATACTAAGAGGTGTGCCTCGTTAAGAAGACCCCCAGACCATCTTTCTATTTTTGTTTGCAACAACCCGATCGCCAGAAAGTTTACCGGAAAAGTGATGTTAGCGAATTCTTTTTAAAAAATAATCCAAATCGAGCCGAAAAATTCAAAGAGAATGATAGTTTGTTGATCTCCTTGACGAGGCGCACCTCTTAGCATTTTTCTTTTAATTTTTTGGAGACTTTTGAAAATCAGAGTAATTTTTCTGACGGCGTTAGACTGCATGCCGCAGCTGAAAACGGCCATTTTTAGTTAGACGGAATTGAACCACATGTCCCACTTTGTTAAAAAATGAAACACGTGCCCCTATCTGAAAACGGCCCAAACCACAAGTACATTTTCTGTACTTTTCCCTATCTCTTATAAAGAAAGGAAGGATACAGCAGTATATATAGAAGACAGAAACCCTATGAGAGAAACCCTAAAGGCCCATGAGCTTATTGGGCCTAAGCTAATAAATACAATACACTATTTACATGCTAACAGGGATCTTGTTTTTCCTATGTTGAGGGATGCACTATGTTTGTGAGCATATTACCTCTGCAAGTCATTTTCGCTTTCTTAATTAGTTTTTATTTCCGTTTCCTGAGTTTACTAAATTTATTATGATGAACAATTTATTGGGATGGAATGAACTTTGCTTGTGCAGTGATAGGTCTCTGTTGAGGCAATGGGAAAATTGTGGGCAGCCCAAGATAGTTGTTAGCTGCAGGAATCAGCAAGAAATGTAAGCAGTTCCTTATGGATCACTGCTTTAAAAGTTCCCACATAGGCCCCAGCATCCCTTGACAACCACCATCCGTCAGCTGGTTAACAATGACAGAAAAATTTAAATTTTGTGTAGGAACAAGTTGAAGGAAGCAGCTGACAGCATAGGCCTCCCCACTTTTGTTGTTGCGGATGCCGGGCGTACACAGGTATTTTCGTGAACTTATCCGTGAATCTGAAAAGGTGTAGTAATTTTGTTTTCAAGTTATAAATTTATAATAAATAATTTTATTTGCCGAATAATATAAAATAAGTTTGAGCAAATGATTGGACTCCTATTAAAACTGTGGGTAACCTAACACTGTCTATTATGGTGGTGTATCCATTAAGGGAGGGTTTGTTTGTTTAAAAAGGAAAGTAACACTTTCTGTAGTTAATAAGAAGAGGTAATTTGCTTCCTTACTTAACACCAAACACAAATTCACTTTCTGTGGAAATTTATTTTATTTTTCTTTAAACTTCGAATACAAATCTATAGGTGATAGACAACAGGATTTATTAAAAAAAATTTGACCACTAAACTTGGTGGGTATGGTCTAGGCACCCTTAACAGGTTTTATTAATATAATATAAGAAAACATACACAAGTGTGTGGGGGGGGGATTAAGTGAAGAAGGCCTAAGGCCAATCCCTCAAGCAGGCATACCTCCCAAGGGTTTGAGAAGGAAATACAAGTGGGAGGGAAACCTAATACAAGAAGCACACATCACCAAGGAGGCAAGGATTAGCAAGGTTTAACAAAATATACTGTCCAAGTCAAACCATCAATGAGAAAGGCCCTACCTAAGGATAGAAATGGGGGTGGGCCCCCCACAAGGAAGGATGAAGCGGGATTTGGGGGCAGGGCGGGGATGGGTAAGATATTCCAACCCCGCTAAAATATGGGGCGGGGGATGGGGATGACTATACCCACGCCATCCCCGCTATATATGTATGTACATAATATATACACACACAAACATATGTGTGTGTAAGTGTGTGTAGTATACACATATATACATATGTGTATATATATATATATATAACACATGCATATATGTATATATATATATATATAGGGGAAAGATCAAATACAAATTGTGCTTATTGTGCAAATATTTGTACGATGCACCTTAACGTTCTTTGTATTGCATATTGAGGTTCAAAGTAGTGCATATTATTCAGCCATAAAATAACAGTTGCACATTAACGTTCAATGAGTTGCACCCTAAAAAAGTTGGGTTTTATTACAAAAATGCCACCTTGCCTTTATGTCCTTAGGATCAATTCATCAAACGGTCAAGATGAGTTTGTACTTTGTAAATTAAGAAGGGTTTGTATTTGATCTCTATTCTATATATATATATATATAAATATAATTATGTTATTATATTATATATAACAAATGCATATTAATGTACATATACACACATATGTACGTGTATTAGTGTGCTTACATAATGAATTAATTATGTATTATTATATATATTATATAGTAATAGTAATAAATAATAACATTCACTTTCTTAGGTAACTTGTGGAAAAGTATATATACACTAACAACTAGCAAGGATCTGCATTTGGTGTTTGCTGACTTAGAAAAACATATGATAGGGTACCTCAATAAGTCCTTTGGCAGGCCTTGAACTATATAAAGCATATCACATAAGTATATCAACATCATCATAAATATGTACGAGGATTGTCTACAAGTGTCCCTACTAGTGTAAGGAGGATTGCAGAGTTCCCTACTACTATTGGAGTGCATCAAGGATCGGCTCTGAATCCTTTCTTATTTTCTATAGTCATGTATGAACTCATGAAGTCCATTCAAGAAGAGTGTCGTGGTGTATGATGTTTGCTGACGATATTGTGTTGACTGATGAGACAAGATTGTGTGTTGAAACAAAATTGAAAGTATGGAGACATATTTTGGAGAACAAAAGTTTTAGGATAAGTCGAAGCAAAACTGAGAATATGGAGTGCAAGTTTGGTGGATGTAGAAGCAATGGTAACAATATGATTTTAGAGGTGGGGAGGAGAGGGAGAGGAAGACCTAATCAAACAAGGGATTAGAGGAGCATTAACGTTATGTACATTTAATGAACTTTAAAAAAATTAACTATTTTAAATTAAATCATTGAACTAGTAAAGTCTGTCATTCCCAAACCACAAAACATGGTCTTGCAAAATTAAAGCCTTTATTTTTAAAAATATGTTAAAGAGTAGATGAAATCGTAAATTATGTTTTGTTTTTTTTTATATCAAAATGACCTCAAGAAGGATACTTGTTATGAAAGTATCCCCTTTTTTCAAATGGTTGAAATTACTTAAAACCCCAGACAAAATGGTGACATTTAAGTTGAAATGAAAAAAACAGCTTTGAAGTGAATTCAGATACTACTGAATGGGTTTAACCGAGTTTGATTGAGGTCAACCATATTACATTGGTTCAATCTGGTTTGACATGTTCGACCAAGTTTGAAGTTCGGATAAGTTTGAAGTTGCTACTTCTTGGGTTGGATGAGAGTCTGACTTTCAAGAGAGCGGAGTGGAGACATCATATTCGGGTGGAGGATTGACCTCTTTTCATTTTTTCTAACCTTTTATTTTTCTTATGCTCTTTATTTTTATCTTTTTTATCTTTATCTTATCTTTTTGTCTTATCTTATCTATCTCTTTGTTTATATATATCTTTTTTTACTCCGATTTCATATGCCGATTCATGTTAGCCTATCCTAAACTCTTATGGGACCCAGACTTGGATTTCACATACACAACACAAAACTGTAATTAATTAATTAATTAATTAATTATATTATATTATATTATATTATATTATATTATATTATATTATATTATATTATATTATATTATATTATATTATATTATATTATATTATATTATATTATATTATATTATATTATATTATATTATATTATATTATATTATATTATATTATATTATATTATATTATATTATATTATATTATATTATATTATATTATATTATATTATATTATATTATATTATATTATATTATATTATATTATATTATATTATATTATATTATATTATATTATATTATATTATATTATATTATATTATATTATATTATATTATATTATATTATATTATATTATATTATATTATATTATATTATATTATATTATATTATATTATATTATATTATATTATATTATATTATATTATATTATATTATATTATATTATATTATATTATATTATATTATATTATATTATATTATATTATATTATATTATATTATATTATATTATATTATATTATATTATATTATATTATATTATATTATATTATATTATATTATATTATATTATATTATATTATATTATATTATATTATATTATATTATATTATATTATATTATATTATATTATATTATATTATATTATATTATATTATATTATATTATATTATATTATATTATATTATATTATATTATATTATATAATAAATTTGGAACCATATATTTTAATGATAATATTTTTACTTCTATTATATTACAAAGCTTATTCAAATATAAAGAACAATTGAAGTTGGTGATATTAATTTTTATCGCACAATATTATCTAGTTTAGCTCTTTTAGTGCTAATTATATATAGGTTTTGGGTCAAATTCTTAGACCCAAAAGTTACAATTCTTAGACCTCTTTCATTTGAGGTGCTTTTGGGTCAAATTTTTTGATGAAATTTTATGAGGTTGATCTCCATTAATTGTAGATTATGTCCACCAAGTTTCACAATAAAATTCAATCGGGAAGTCAGTTAAATAAATTATTGAAAAAATGCATTTTATATATACACCTGCGCAATTTTGAAGAAATTATTTAACTGACTTCTTGATTGAATTTTAATCTGAAATTTGGTGGACATGGTCTACACTTCATGGAGAATAGGCTCACAAAATTTCATAAAAAAAATTCACCCGGAAGCCTCTCAAATGAAAGAGGCCTATGATTATAACTTTTAGGCCTACCTTACAAGAATATTCCTATACACACACACATATATGTATGTATATATATAAAGTGAATTGGAGGATAAGCTACTCTCTCAGTCTAGCTCTCTTCGATCTTTGTGGGCGGCGATGGCGGGAGAAGCAGGATGTTTGGCTGTTTGGCCGCACCTCATCTCTTTGATGCTGTTTTTAATAGTAATATCGGGCCTTTAAAGGGAAATGGAGGCAAGCTCCTCCAGGGGACCGACATTCGCGAGCGACACCGAAAAGAACCCGGGCTTGAAGGCGGCGCGGTTCTGCAACCCGGCGGTGGACGTGAGGGGGCGGGTGGGTGATCTAGTGGGGAGGCTGACGTTGGCGGAGAAGATAACGCTGTTGGGGAACAGCGCGGGGAACATGAGCAGGCTGGGAATTCCGGGATACGAGTGGTGGTCGGGGGCCTTACACGGCCTTTCGTACAGCTGGGGCAGACGTTGAGATCATTTGCTAGGTTTTCTGTTTCCATCAATTTGGTCCGACCTGCCGGATTCTATCCACCGCCCTACGTCATCATGACTCGTTCCACCATTGATCAACACATGGATGCGATAGAAGCGGACCATAAGGACATCAGGGCGGAAGTGCAATCCACCAACACCAAGTTGGATGCTATCACCTAAACCCTAGACAAACTGGCGCAGAAGGTTATGGCGTCGGGGGAACCACTGGTTGATTCTGAGTCGGGAGGAGGAGGCACGATTGACTCGCAAATCTCCCATAACCCTATGACCGCACCTCTGGCGCTACCAGCGTTTGAGGGGGCAAATCTGATTGGATGGCTCGCCAGAGCCAATCACCAGTTTGAAATCCATCAGACCCGACCTGATGTTAAGGTGGCATCGACCATGGTAGCGATGGAGGGTCATGCTCTGTATTGGTTCTCTTGGATACATTCGCGGAAACCGAATATCACATGGGAAGAGTTTTCACAAGCTCTTGTGGCCCTTTTTTATACTCAGTTTAAGGGGAGCAAGTTCGAACGGTTAGCCGACATCAAGCAGACGAGGTCCGTGGATGACTATGTGAACATGTTCGTTCAACTGGCCAGTCAGGTACCAGGTTTGAGTGATGCCCACTACTTGGGGTACTTCATCTAAGGGTTATGAGACACAATTCGAAGCTCCTTATGGCTT